TGCTTCGGGCTGAGCTTCTTTTGTGTTTGGAAGTAGCTCGTAGCAACATTATCTGTCATAATAGTGAACTTACTCCCAAGTAAGTAATGACGCCAGGTTCGTAGACAATGGATAATGGCAGACATCTCTTTTTCTTGCACCGTGTAGCGCCTCTCTGTGTCATTGAGTTTGCGGCTCTCGTACGCAATAGGGTGTCTTTCTTGCATTAACACGCCCCCTATTGCAAAGTCTGAGGCATCAGTGTGTACCTCAAACGGCTTGGAGTAGTCGGGCAAGGACATAACAGGCTCTTGCGCGACCATCTGCTTCAGCTTGTTGAAGGCATCCTGGCAATCTTGTGACCAATGCCAAGATTTGTTCTTCTTGAGCAAATCTGTTAATGGAGCAGTGATAGTTGAATACCCCTTGATGAATCGCCGATAGTAGTTCACCAGACCAAGGAATGATCTTAACTCTGGGACCTTGGTAGGAGGCTGCCATTCTTGGATGGCTCGAACCTTAGTTGGGTCCATTATGAGCTTTCCATCCTTGATCTTGTGCCCCAAGAAGTCCACCTCTTGTTTACCAAAAGAACATTTTTCCAGCTTAATGTAAAGTTCATGATCAGAGAGTACCTGGAAGACTTTCTTCAAGTGTTGAGCATGCTCTTCAAGAGTCTTGCTGTACACCACGATGTCATCCAAGTATACCACCACAAACTGGTCTAAGTAAGGGTGGAACAACTTGTTCATGAGTGTGCAGAACGTTGCCGGGGCATTCGTCAGTCCAAAGGGCATGACAAGAAACTCGAATGCTCCATATCTCGTCACGCAGGTTGTCTTCGGTTCATCACCTGCGGCGATGCGTACTTGATAGTACCCGGATCGGAGATCAAGCTTAGAGAAGTACCTGGCTTTCCCAAGCTGATCGAACAAGTCGGCGATCAAAGGTATTGGGTACTTATTCTTGATGGTAATCTTGTTCAAGGCCCTGTAGTCGATGCACATTCGCAACGATCCATCCTTCTTCTTCTGGAAAAGGACTGGAGCACCATATGGGGCCTTAGATGGTTGAATATATCCTGAATCAAGGAGATCTTGCAGTTGTCTCCTTAACTCTTCAAGTTCTGGAGGTGACATGCGATAAGGTGCCAAGGCAGGTGGTTTGGCACCAGGCTCCAACTCGATCTGATGGTCTACCTCTCTTCTGGGAGGTAGTTTCTTGGGCAACTCATCAGGCATGACGTGCTTGTACTCCTGTAGTACCTCTTGGATACCAGGTGGCAAGGTTTCCCGTGGTTTGGTTGGGCCATCCTCTTCCTCGGCCAATGAACGTACAGTGGCAATATACCCTTCTGAGTTCTTGAGACCCCTCTTGAATTGCAAGGCAGAAATCATAGGGTTGGATTTCTCCAAGCGTTTCAAGGGGATTACCCGGATCATATTAGAGTCAATGACCACCATAGACTTGGCTTCGGGAATAGGGAAGGCATGTGCTTTGCAAAAGAAAGCAAGTCCCAATACAACTTTGAAATCATCCATAGGGACAACAGTAAAGTCTAGCTTACCTTGCCAGTCCCCGATCTTCACCTTCACATCCTTGGCAATCCCAAGGACTTGTTTGGCTGGGGAATTCACCGCCTTAATGGTGCCTTCTCCTTTGTTGAGTTGGATACCCAATCTCTTAGCTTCTTCAGCCTCCATGAAGTTGTGGGATGCTCCTGTGTCGAGCATGGCAGAGGCGGACTTGCCTTGAATGGCAAGATCAGCATAAAGTAGACCCTTCTCTTCCTTCTTAGATGGGGAAAAGAGTCCAGTCAAGGAATTCAAGTGTTGGAGGGAACCAAGGTCGATCTGTTGCTCCTTGTCCCGGTTATCCTTCATTTCAGCAACCAAGGCATTCATAGCTTTGCGGTTGGGGCAGTCCCGAGTCCAGTGTGGACCATCGCACACGAAGCATGGCCTCGGTGGCTTTGAGGCATCACGCCTGATTGAGGGTGGTTTATCCTGTCTAGAACTCCCACCAAAGAATCTACCACCATCCTTACGATCGAAATTCTTCTTTTGTCCTCCTTTGTCTCCTCCACTGCTACCAGGATTAGGCTTTTTGGACTTGGTGGAGTAGTCGATTATAGACTCAGCAGCAGCAATTGCCTCATCTAGAGTTTGCACTTTACGTCTATCGAGTTCTACTCTCGCCCAGTCTTTAAGTCCGTCCATGAAGTAGAAAAGAGCCTCCTTGTCGGACAGGTCCTCAATCTCAAGCATAATGGTAGTAAACTCTTTAATGTAGTCAGGAATACTACTAGTTTGTCTCAATCTACGAAGCTTACCTCGAGCCTCTGTCTCAGCATTGTGGGGAACAAAGTGCTTGCGGAGTTCTGACTTGAACAACTCCCATGTGTTGAGAGTGCAAAGGCCCTTTTCTCGTTCGGCATGCTTTCTGCGCCACCATAGTTGGGCTGCATCCCGGAGAAAAGTTGAAGCATTGTTGATTCTGATCGAGTCGTTAGAGACTCCCATGGCCTCGAAGTACTGTTCTAGGCCAAAGAGAAAATTCTCCACAATTGTAGCACTACGAGCCCCATTGTACATGGCCGGCTTGGGCACTTTCAGACCCTGAGAAGTGGCGTTTGAAGTACTACCACTAATAGGGCTACTCACACAGTGATGAGAATCCCATTCATGACGAATCTCATCCATTTGAGAGCGTAGACCTCGTACCTCATCTCTTACATATTTGCGGAGATCGGCGAGATCACGTCTGAGGGAACGAATGTCTTCCCCTAAATCATCGTTAAGGTCTGCAATCATCAACTTGGCAGCCCGTGTTATCTCAGCATTCTCTTGGAGGAGATTGTTGAGTTGATCGTTGAGTCCCCCTATAGTAGTTCTCACTTCCTCCATGTTAGATTCCAAGCTACCAACACGAGGTTCAAGAGACTCACCTGCGGGTGCCCTGCTCCGGCCTCGCTCTCGCTTGGACCTGGGGTGAGCTTGCTCCTGTTGTGCATGAGCTTGCTCCAGTGCTTCCGTGCCAACGACGTTTCCTTCCTCAGTTGCCATCGTACAATACCTTCCTTCAAACACAACGGTAGAACCGAGCTCTGGTACCAACTGTGTCACGGGCTGAGAGTCTGGCGCAGCACACGGCGCCCGTGCGGCGTCCTGGAGGACCCCATAATCCTCAGGACAAGCCTTACCACGTACGGATCACACTGGTTTCGCCCTGCCATGGGCTCATCAGGGAGGCGGCACTAGCCCCCCGACCAGTTGTGCACACAGTCCGAAGACTGAGGCAGAACACCCCCAATGCTAATGTCGCCCCCTTTACCCATATTGTGCGAGGCTAACCAGCGGACCGATCATTATCTTGGTCTTTACACGGTCACGGAAATATCATCCGTGACAATTAACTCTAAAAATTATTTTTCTACTTGAAATATAAATTGGGAAAGTTTTGTTTTTAAACTAGAGATGATCAGATTGTGACAAGATCCTTCACCATTAGCCTTATTAAATTGAAGTCTTTGAATTTAAAATCTCCCAAATAATGTGGTTGATGATTGGGACAAGCTTTGTGTTACGCATTGCATGACATGCTCCTCTACCTTGGACCCACCAACTGCTAACGCTTTAACCCATTTGATTTGTAGCATCTTGATAAGTCCACGACATAGTTTACTAGATTACGCATAGAACAAACGCAAGAAACCCCAAGTTGATCCATTAAAATTTTCCACAATCTTCAACCAAACAAGAAGATTTGATTCTTTCAGAGTGGGTTATCTTTAGTGAACTAAAGGCAAATGTTCCCACTGGACTTTAGACAAGCGTCTGCTGTAAAGGTTCCTCCTACCCTTTTCATTTACATTCAATCCTATTCATATATAAGACCGCCATGAGAAGCAACCTGCCACAGGATGCCACACTCTGCTCTACTTCTCACAAAAACACCTTTTCATGCTTCACTCTAGCCCTCTTCTGTACGTGCAGGAATCTACCTACCACCATCAAGAAACATCTTTCTCCCCACCATACATGGGGTCACTTTGCAATTACAACGCCTTAACTGTAATATTTCAATTTAAATTTTAATAATTAATTTAGATTAATAGAAATTTAAAAAAAAATAATATTTAGAGGTAAGAAAATTAATAGAAAATGATTATTAAATCTAATTTAGGATATAATTTTAAATTAAAAAAAATTTTAAAAAAAAATAAATTTATTAAAAAAATTAATTAAAAAAAATTATTAAATTATTATTATAATAAAAAAAGGGGAAAAGGTATGCCAAAAAAAAAGGAAGAAGAAAAGAAAACGAATTTGCTTTCGGCGCCGCATGAATAGTAAATATAAAATAATAATAAAAAAAAGGGGGAGAGAGAAGAAGAAATAATAAAAAAAATGTGTGGGACCCACTGAATTTTTATAAAAACTTACCTTCCTTCATTTCCTCATTCATTCCTGCGCGCGAGCTGAGGCGGAGAGAACGCGAGTAACCGGTGCGAAATATCTAAATTTTTAAGGTAAGAGTTTTTAATAGGATATTTAGGGTGTGATTTTAAGCTTTTCAAGACTAAGTAAGTGTTCTAAAAATTTTTCTTAGTCATCCTTCTTATTTAGTTTCTGAGTTTGTAGTGGTAGAAAATTTAAGATCTGGAAGAGGGATGAATTTATGTTGAATAAATATGATTTTTGAGGTTGTCAGTAGTATAATAAATGTTCTAGAGTATAAATTTATTGATGATCTTTGAATCCGTGGCTTATGGATCAAATTTTAAACTAGATCTGAAAATATATGTTGATTTATTGAGGTTTAGATGATTATTTGGGATGAGAAATGAATTATTATGGTTATAGGATTATGATTCTAAGCTAGAGACTTAATTTTTAATTTTTGGGTATTTTAGGTACGAATTTATGAAATAAAAAGAAAATTTTGATAATAAAAATTAGTTTAGAAGTTGATTTTTAGATTATTAATGTTTATTGATAATTAAAAGAGGAGTTAAAAATTTTACTTAATAGTATTAACTATAGATTTGTATTAAGATTGAGATTAAGAATTATGTTATATTTTTAATTCTATTATTAGAATTATTTTATTAGTTTCAAAAATTGAAACTAATATTTATAAATAATATGTTATTTGTAGATTGTATTACTGGTGAAGATTGTGGTGAGAGAGAAATTTAAGGAATAATTTATTGAAAAAGCCACAAGGTAACCATGCTTTTAATTTATGATTAGCGTTACTTCATGTTAATTGGGTGATTATTGAGAAAATTATGAATTTTTTTTATTGTATATTGTGCAATATTATTATTATGAATTTGTTTGACTATTGTGGGAGGTGTTGGGAGACTTGCTATTGTTGTTGTATTTATGTGCCACGTGGTATGCCCCTATTGGAGCTCAATAGGTGGTTTGTAAGGGCTCGGGCTAATCTACCTTTGGCCGGGTAATTTAGCACCGAGTGAGGGCTACGGCTCGAGGTTAATGGAGGGATATAAGGATGGTTGTTTGTGTGTATTGTAATATTTCATATATTTGTTGGAATTATATTATTTTTAATTTTCACTTAGTAAGCACACACTTAACTGTTTGTATACACTATCATAAATTGGCTTTGGTTACTGGGACTTTTGAGTCTCATTATGTGGTTAACAATTTTCAGGAGAAGAGCCACGAGTGACACGTGGAGGAGTCCCAGAGGCTTAGTGGTATAGATCCACTGTCTCTTTTGGGTATTTAATTTATGATTTATAATGTGTTATATTGCCAATATTAGGGCTTTTTGTTTATTGTCAATTATATGAATATATAAATGTAATCATGCCTTTCAAACTATTTCTATTTTTAGTACAATTTGGATGACTGTAATTTTAATATTTGGTTTACTTTGGATTGGTTAAAATGGCATGATTATAAGGCCAAATAACTGGTTTGTGTTGAAAATTTATTAAATTGCTTATTTTACTTGTTAGGAGTATAAGGATGGACAAATGTGATTTAGTTTACTTATTGGGAGTATAAGGATGGACAAATGTGATTTAACCTAATGGCATGTAGGAGGTAAAAATTTATCTGAAATGTTAATTATAAAATATTTTATATTGAAATTATTGATATAAAAATGTGTTCGGTGGCTTTAACCCAACTATGGTTGAGTTAAATTATTTAAAAAAAAAAATTTGGTGTGTTACATTAACTATGCTCATCCTTCTAGAAGGATCCATAAGAATAGCAGATCTATCTTTTTTATACAACACGACTTTTGTCTTCTATCTTAGTAGAAGAAACAATGTAACCAAAACGGCAAAACATCATGCAGGAGCTTTATAGATGCTTCATACACAAGAAAAAGTCTTCAAAGATAAAATCACATTAATACCTAGAATGCATGGGGGAAATAAGCTCTGTTTAATTCCTTGCTGAGTTCCTATCACATTAATTGGTTCACGAGCAAAATTGATATACACAAGATATCTTATCATATAAAAAAGGAAAAAGGAACAAAAGAATTTCTGCATCATGAACGGCTAAGAGGCTAAAAGAAAGTACAATGGCCTGCATACTGGGTAAAATTATCGCCCCCTCTCATAAAGGTTCTAGATGGTACTCTCTTGGCAAGTGTCAGAGTGTCCGATGTGCCGTCTCATATTGTTGAAGAAAGACCGAGATTGGATTAGAATACCGTGACTCACTCTGGTAATTTCAATCGGTTAAATATGACAAGAAAACTCTGCTCTGGCACAACATAAAGGAAACCAAGATCTGCGCCTTTTACATATGGTCCAATGCCCTGAATATGTTAGTGAAGAAAAGGAAAAATGTCAAAAGAAATCACGCTGATACATTCCGGTTTGCAAGAAGAAGTGTTATTTTTTTCACATAAGAAATACTACCACACATCTAACTATTCATTTACCTTGCCATTAAGCTGGAGCAATTCCCCATCAACCCATTTTGGATTTCGAAAGCCAAACTCAGCTATTCTCCCTTGACCTTTATAACTTGCCACCTGTTTGTTCATAAATGATTCAATATTTTGATATTCAAAATAAGTTGCATGCGATCAAAACAGTACAAAGGGTGACGATAAGGAAGGCCATAAAAAAATGTCAAGAACTACACATTGGGGTAAAGAGAAAGCATTCTTCAAGTACATGTATACGCACTTTGACTGGGGGGAAAAGCATACACAATAAGATGGGAAGAAAAATGAGATGACAGAAGTTAAATTGACTGACAGTCAAAGAATAAAACTCTTTTGAGAGGAAGGGAAAAAGCAATTCTTTTATGCCAAGTGCCAATATTGATAAATTCCAATTTACCAACAATATAGAAGTTAACTCCTGGGCTCAAAAAAAGATATAAATTAAACAATGAGAACAGCAGGCATGAAATTAAATTGTTAACTTCAAATATTGGTCATACCTCTGGCATGATGGTCTTGTCTTCAAAGAAATTTATAAATAAATATGCATGCTTATACGTGGCCCAAAAAGAAAAGTACGCATCCATATCCATATACGTACCAAAAAAAAAAAAAATTCAAACAATGAACTGTAATTACCACTCCTAATTCATCTGGATACATTCCATGGTTGGTGTTGCGATTGCCTCTCCCAATTTTAGCACGAAATGTCACCTAAATACCAAGTATACAAATTCAAATTTTATTAATATGTTTGAACATTATATGAGAATGTAATATGGCAGGAATCAAGGGATTCAAAATGCAAAAACCTGGCCAGAAGGAACATTAAGATCCCCAGTCAGCTTCACTGCCTCTACATATTCAAAGAACTCCATATCTGAGGAATTGTTTTCCTTGCCCAGATTACTCCAGTGTCCAAACTTGCGCCTCAATTGCACCACTTCAGTGCCATAAGGGCCAAATGCACCAACATAGAGGCCTAAATGTCAACCAGCAGATTTCCATTTCATTCTCTTAGCCATTCTCAGCTCATCTTGCGAAGAAAATAATCAAAAGAAAAGTACAAATAATCTTACCATCAAAAGGGTCTAAATCACCTTGTGAAGTCATAATCCGACTGAAAGATGTGTATTCAGATAATCTACTTCTTTTCTGTGCTTGACTAATTGCAAGTTTGACAATTTCACGCACACTTTTGGACACCTAACTCAAGTAAAATATTTTTCAGTTTATTGTCAAGGAAAACATAACATTGTAACTGAAAGTTAAGAGTACGAGTACTTCATAAGAGGGACAGGCAGAAACCACAATCTGATCTCATATTTCTAGGTAATTTTAGATGCATAAATACATGACTGGAATCCATATTTTACTACTCACTGTCATTGTTTAGTTTGAAAAAAGATCACCAAGAACATATGCAATGGCAAAGATAACCAAGTCATGTCAAACTATTTAGAAAAGTAACTATGAGCTCATAATATGACTGTCCAAATGTTCTGCCTTTATCAAGATGAAGTATGATTCATTCTTTTTTCCGGCCAGAAGCATCATTCATTCAGTACTAGACATCTGTCTATAATTAGTATATGAATACTTTAGCATGAAAATTCAGGGAGAGTCATTTTTATCATGATGAAAAACCTCAAATTCTTACCAAAAAACAATATCATAATTATGATCATCACAATAGATATTTCTTATTTATATAACTTAACGGAAAAAATATTAACATTCTTAAAAATGATTTAACGTGTTTCATCTCACCTTGGAAGAGACTTTGTCAGAACTCCAAAATGCCTTGGCAACATCAGGAGGCATAAGCTCTGAGACTCCTTGTGTTGCCAGAGCTGCCACTTTGATATTGGATACTTTATTTTCTCTAATATCATAGTCTAGATTTCTTCTAGGGATATGCAAGACAAAAGAATCCCTTTCCAAATCTTTTATTTCAGCTGGAAGACGCATAAATTCATCTTTGGCAGGAGCTTCTTCATTATTGTGTACAACCCCACCAATAAAAAGCTTCATATCCAAATCCTTTTCATCTCCAGCGGCATCACTATCTCCGTGTAAAGTGACCTCATCAGTTTCATCCAGATTACTAGCTTCCTCTTCAGGATTCTCATTGGAGTTAGTTTTATTACTCTCTTCCTCCATCAATTGCTTCACAGGATCATTATCCTCAGTCCCTTCCTCTTCAACATCAATATCCATGACTTTAACTTTCAATCCTGGAATTTTTTCTTTGAGAAAGTTGATGACATTTTTTATGCCCTCCTCAGTTGCTCCCTCAATACTACTGCTTTTCTCATCACTTCTCTCAACCTTCTCTTCATGTTGCTGCACTTCAACTGAAGGAACATTATCAACTTCAGGTTTGGACGGGTTTTTTGCAAGCACAGATGGAGAGTTACCCGTTGAATTTCCTTTAGCTCGTCGCAAGTACACCACCTGTCAAAACACATGACATGTACTGCTTACAGAAGTATACAGAACCTGGAAGATATGAATACAGTAGAATCCCACTAAATGCAGGCCAGTGAAAAAGCAAGTTTTTGCTGATATTATCCAAGACCGCCAAAAATCCCCATCAAATACAAATTTTCATTGCGAGGATTGTTCTCCCACTGTGCATACTGCACAGGTAGTCAGAGACCAACAAGCAAACATATAGTAGGTTTGAACCTATAAGCTCATCCTTCCACCCTATTCCTGGAGGTATTTCTAGTTGTTAGATCGACAAATTCCACTAGTAAACATTTTTTTGGAGGGACAGTACCCCTTACGACTATCTTAGTAACTCATGTTTGTGCCATTTTACAGAAAATATAAAGCATGCATCGTTTATTGGGAAAAAAATAAAAACAAATTAGTTGAACAATTTGAACATTACCTGCATATGGTATGAGTCGTCGGAGTTTTTTACAACATAAATTTCAAAAATTGGAGTCCCAGGGGAACCTGTGACCAGCTGTCTGTAACAAACAAAAGTAAGCAGTGCTGAAAAATTAATGAAGGGCAAAGTAGAAATAAGAAAGATCGTACCTTGGACTGTAACTCTTGCCAACAAATCTGCCCATACTGGGACTGATGCGTATTATTCTGCCAAAGGGGTCATCTGAATCTTTGGTGTAGCCTACCCACCAACCCACCTGCACATAATGGCAAGAATAATTAATTGACATTAAGACAGCCCTTTGCAATAATTACATATCTGTTAGTAAAGCTTCGGTTAGGACCATCATTATTTCTCACAATCACCAATGCATTTGTGCTGCCATTTACAAGCCATCTTTCTGGATGGACATTGGTTCTTCCCAGACCGCAGCATAGATTTATTAACAAATACTTGTTCCTTCAATAGCTAAATCAGGGGAACAATTTCCTTTTTTAAGATTCTTAATCTGGAGACAAGTAAAGCTGACTTCCTCCTACCATGTAACATTTCCCAATTAAATGTTTCCAAATTACAATGATTCCAAGTTCAATCTTGTCTTGTTTTCACTCTATCGCCAATAATTTATTTATTTATGAAAAGAAGATAAATATCTATAATATTAGGATTCAAATATTACTCCTGCTTTTACCTTGGGCAAAATGCACAGATGTCTGCCAGCAGAAATAATCATTAGAGGGGGAAAAAAAATTAAATCTTTCAGTAAAAAGACACCAATGTTCTTGAGAATAGATCATAAAAAACTACAAGAAAAAGCGCTGTAGAATAACGGATGGTAGAAGTAGCAATTGAGAAAGATACCAGTCCACTTCCAGTATGTCTAGATAATTTTGAAGCTTCATGGTATCGCTCTTCATCTATGGCCCTCTGCAATATAGAGAAAATTTTGTCACCAATAAAGATTATAGACCCTACAATAATTAGAAGGGTTGAGAGTCTGGAGACTCTAACTAATTGAAATTTGATCTTGCCTTCAACTGAGACATGATATCAGCAACACTATCCATTGATGTTGCTTCAGACAGAGCCCTTTTTAATTTTGCTGCTTCTTGAAAGTCTTCCTTTTCAATCGCCTCTTCAAGTTGAAACTGAAAAGCATAGAATGATTGCATATACTTAAGCATCAGTAAATCATCTTTGAAATGCTGCCCAAAATTTGTTACGGTTTTCGATTTCTCACTAACGGCAAGGCAATCGTTCTTTAACGTAACGACGCTCAAATAGCATTCTTCATAACTTTAATGAACAAATGATAATTGGAGAATCCGGAAACGCGCTTCGTAGAGACAATTTCGCTGAATATAGAAGAATTTCGAAAATATTCACAACTAAAAGTGCTCTTGGCTTTTCACTCATCATGGACCAGTCAGATCGATTGAGAGACTGGCAAAATAAAATGTACACTTAAGTCTATAGAGCTAGGGTGGAAAGGGAAATAGAAATTAAAAAAAAAAAAAACACACAAACACCCAGGGGGAAAAACAAAGAAAGAAAAGAAACAGGAAGCTAGAGAAATCAAAGCGAACCAAAGTGAATCACGATGAGCAATCAAAAGGTGCACCTTAAGAACAGAGGCAAAGTTCTCAGCCTGTTCAATTTCAGAGAAATGGCGGCTCCATCGGTTCCAATCCCAATCCAGAGAAGAAGGAACATTACCATTGTCGTTGCTGTCGTGAGTGGTGGTCGCACAACGGCAACATAAGTCTGAATTCTTGCGGTTCCGACGGGAGAAGATCGATAGCCTGCTTTGAACAGCACAGCCCCAACCAAGAAAGAAGCTGACGCTGACTGATTTCTTTGGGTTGGCGTAGACATCGAAACCAGAGAAGGGTCTTGGTTGTGAGCTGGAGAGAGGTTGTCCCACTGCCCACGTATTCGCCACCGTCACCACCATCAGTCTATCGCCGTTTATTTTCAGGCAAGGGTTCGATTTTCAGGGGAAGCTGTCTTGCGAATTGGACTTAACAGCAACAAGCGACTCAGCGAGGATAGAGATAAACTTTGTCTTCGTACGTCATTATCATGGTACAGGAAAAAATTAGAAAAATCGTTGGCAAGAGCTTAATGATAAAAAGTAAATCTGCTCTCCTGATGGCAAATATAAATAATTAATTGAATTTGTTTTCTTTCATGATAAAATGATTATTGGATGTTTGCCAAAAAAAACAAATTATAAAGGGTGAAATTACAACAAATTAAGAGGGATATTTCTTTAGAATTTAAAAAGTGAATAATAATTTACTTTTATTTTAGTTAAATAGCATAGTTTACTCTCCTTTTTTTTTAAGTCCAAAACATGGTATTTTTCTCGCTATTTAAAAAAAAAACAATGGTTACCAATTATTCTCTTTATGTTACTGAGATTAAATTCTGCACACATTGTCCCATAGGATGACATGCCTTACCCATATTTTTTATGGAAACGATGCCCATATTTGGTGACAGAATATTGCATTTTTCATGCACTTATATGAAATTAGTAAACACTATTCACGAATTTTTTTAATTTTTATATTTGATCTTTATGCTTTTATATCCATTATTTAAATATATTTTTTCAAAATAAGTAAATTTAAAATAAAGAAATTAATATATTTTTATAATAGTAAAAAATATTTATAATCTCAATATCGGTCAAACTATGGGCAGGAAAGCTATTGCTCTATCAATAAACACGATTTATGCATTTGCAGAAAGAATAATTTTTTTTTTCCAAAATAAGGTTCTTGTTCAATTTATTTTATTTACATTATTACATCTCTCTTATCAAATTAAATAACCATGAAACAAGGAAATGCTTTTGAAGGTTAAAAGAAGAAGAAGCAAATTTTGGATCAAAAATAAATAAACAAATATTACCAAAAAAAAAAAAAAAAATATGTCTATTCTAAGCACAACAGCTTCCACAACTCAAAAATTCTTTAAAAATCATGGCAATGTGAAATAAAAGGATCGGCGCCATGTGTGCAGGTTCCATTCCTAAAAATCTGTAGTTGTCCATTAGCCAACCCCAAGTGGCCGAATCTGATTTGATTGTGTAAAATGAATCAAGGGGGAGGTCCACTGATTGTTAACCCTAGCAGATATAGTCTCGAGATGTTTGAAGCAGACCCGGGGTGGTTCTTACACCACACTTACTTGAATGGGCCAAAATCGAAATTCCATTTTTAACAGTTTATAACCCCCTCAAAGTTGGGTAATTGGGTGCTCTTTCCTTTCATATATTTGTGTGTGTGTCACTCAATTTTTTAAAAAATTAATTAACTATAATAATTATGTTTATAAAATAAAAAAGTTAAACTAAAATACCTTATATTGATCAATATAAATATACATTAATTATTTCTCATTAATATAAATAAATGTGTATATGATTTTACTTGTAAAAAATAAAAAAATAAAAGTAAGAGTTTCTCCAATAAATAAGAACAAATAAGTGTTTTTGACGCCATCAACTCCGGATGATGAAATATTGAAAACCACGTTTCCAAGGAAGTTGCGGGGTCAAACAAACATGGGGACATAAAGGATAGAACCCTGTCCAGAACCGTAAGACGTGAACGCCAAATCATACCTTGCACATATCCAAACATTTCCTAAAATTTCGGGCCAGCATCAATGAGAGCAAACATACACAGAAGATTCTTAGAAAGGTTTAAAAAAATTATAAATCAAGTGATGCCCTTGATCTAATCACCAAGCTTTCCATGAAATATTCCAACTTACTGATCTATCAAGATTCAAGAATCACTTGCAGCCCTGAAGTAAAAAGAACTTATTCCGTACAAGGAACTACTGAAAAAAGGGATGTCAGGGAAAATGGGCGCAAAAGAAGGGACCAAATTCAACTTACAATTATTTTTAACTCTTTACATTTCACTGAACAAAAAACAATTACACGTCTACATCTCTAATCTACGTTAGCTAAGAGAAAAACAAATACCAAAAGGCTCGGATGCCCGCCCCACCTTTCCTTTTTGGGCCGGGCGGGCTAGTATTTTCAGGTTTCTGTCACTTCCCGCAGAAGGAAATAGATCCATTTCATCATGGATCAAATGCGAAAATTTCTGGTTATGTATATACCATTTTATATAGCTTCATAAAATGGCCAGATATGGATACTCGACTTCAATTTCTTAGAATGGATTTAAAGTATGACAGAAGTAATGAAAATGTCATTCTAGTTTGGTGCAGAGGAGAGACTGACAGGCATGCATTCGACTGAACGGCCTTGGTCTCCAATTGATGCATTTCGTGTTACGACAGGCACACTACCATTCTCTGCATTTTCTGAAGTATTACGCACCTCACCACCCGGCCCAGCGATTTCTGAACGCACTGGGCGGAGCAGACCCTGTAATCTCAACAAATAACTCTGACTAGAGGGTTGACCTCTCACATATCTTGTTGTCGTCACAACACTGGCAGAAGATCGTTCTGATTCAGGACGGAGATTGGACAGAGCACTAAGGTCAAGATTTGGAAATACTGAACAGCGGCACCGAGGACATTTTACATTAAGGCGAAGCCACTCATCAATGCATTCAACATGAAAATTATGAGCGCAAGGCAGGCCACGGACCTGCATCAAGTTGAAAACCTTATTTTCTATACACCTATAGCATTTCAAATTTCTTACAAGTATATGGCTCCCAGAATTAGAGGTACACAGAAAATTAAATATCAAAATGCACAGGAAAATATAAAGCAATTTGAAAGCAATTTAAAATTTAATTTGTTTATTATTGCCCTATATGGCCCCATATATATTCAGTTGGTACAAAAGGGCCCATTAGCTTTTCAAGTAATTGATTAAAGAACATGTTTCTGAGCAACAATACAACAAACATCTTAAGGCATCCCTTATGCTTAGACCCTTAAATAGTGAAAAGCATACCTCATTCCCCTCGTGGAATTCTTCTAAGCAGATGGGGCATTCACTACAGTCAGTTGGAACAGCCTTCAACCTGAACTTTGGGAGTTCCTGAATTAAAGCTTCAACTGCTTCTCTCTGTGCCAAACCCATAAAAGCACTCAAAATATCAGTTGTGAAAGTCAATAAATATGCAAAAGATAATTTTAAATATGATTTACAAAGAAATGACACAGCATAGTCATTCACATCCATGTCGCCTATAAACATCAAGCTAGCAAAGAACAAAGTATGACTATTTCATGAAGAAAATTTAAGTAGTGGAATTTATTCATGATCATTTGTGATGTTCACTGTGCTTAGAACAAAGTAAGGTAACACTGCTTTACAGAACTTTTGAATAGAAAATAAGGCGTTTTCAAATATCAGCTAAAATTACCTGAGCTGGGGTTAGGTATAGACCAGGATGATATGCGCCAGCATCTTGGCCCATACCCCTTGTTTCCTGACCAGCAGCTTCAAATGCCCAATCAGGCACTCGGATCATGTCCACCAGAACCTAGAGAGAGAAGGAAGGGGGGGAGTAATTGCTACAATTAGATTACTAACAGAACATAATCACAAAACAGAACGGAAATGAATATACAATTAGATTATTAGACCTAAGAACATAATCACGGCCACACTCCAATGCATGCTGTATATGAAACGTCCATGAAATGAAGAGACAGCGTAATGCTAATTTTATTGCCTCGAGAAAGAAGCCAGAAGTGAGACCATGGTAATAATGCATTGTCCATAAGATTATTCATGATGGCAATGAAATACTTCTCTCAGAGCACAATCATCACAACGTGCATTAAAAAAGGCGCAGTTACCAGAATAATTCAAATTCATAAAATGCTAAAAATGATGAGGTTCCCAAAAACCAAATCAAGATAAGAAAGTTAGAGCGTACAACATCATGATAAAAACTAGAAAGGAAATAGTAAAGAATCACAATACAAATTTGTCAATGAGCAAGCTTCAATACTATATCAGATTGATAGAAATTCAAATCTCAACAATCAATAGAGGGCAGTGGTAGACTAAAAAGCCACAAGAATACACAGTAAAATAATTTTTCAGTCCCTCTCATTTAAACAAAAATAAGAAAAGGAGAAAATCATTTCCATATTGTTCATGGTTATGTTAGAAATGCTCCAATTTGAGGAGCCTCATGCCGTAAACTATATGGAGTTTCCAAGAGATATGCAACTATTACTGCCATGTATAATATGTTGAAGGCTTACTCCATATTCAGACACAGGAATACCCTGCTGGGCACGTAACAAATGTGCTTGTCTTCGGGCCAACCACTGCAACAAAAAAGTTGAACTAGATCAAGAAGAGAATGCCAGTATACCACAATAGCAGCCAGCAGACAACAAAGATGAATAACAAATGGCAGGAAGGGGCAGCAGATAGTCCCCTGGACATAAGCAATGCATAACATGCAGAATAAAAATAAACTTTTCTCATTGAACCAGATAATAGGGTACCACTAACCTTGCCTAATGACATGCAAGCAACGCAAAGTAGTCCACAGTAGCTGAAAAGTAACCAGATGAGGAAGCCCCATTTCTGACCTTCTTCAGGCAACTGCAGATAAATATTTGCATTATGTGCCTAAAATCTTTCTACAAAAACATCATTGAGGTTTGAATCAAAATAAGACATACGCAGTTCCTGGCACTAGTGAACCACAATGTACCAATGATAGTCCAAGCCCAGAGAAATGGATATAGAAGCAAAGCAAGTATTGAAAGGACCACTACTCTTCCACAGAAGCGGGCATATCTCTGTTGCCACCCAAAGTCTCTACGAGAACAGCAGGAAAAATGGAAAATGAAAGCAACACTGAATCAGCACCTGGATTTGACTGGTCATAACCTTGTTGAACTTCATTTTGCCTTGACGACATATTAATGATTCAGAAACACTACAGTGGATTTAACCATATAGTGAAATCCTAGAAGTCAGCCATGACAGAAAGTGACCATGAATGACTTTGCATTTAAATGATCTACATCATGTATGCAAGCATTATATTCCAGAATTCCATATTTTGGAAGAGTCTTTTCCATAGAACCACCAGGCATAACAATCCCATGGCCACATCTAATTTTCCACAAATCTCAACTAAACCCCTTCTTTTCTTGCCTAACAGGGTTTATCTCACTCCACACCACACATTCCAGGCATTCCTGCATTGAATATTCCAACTAGATAACTAGGCTATCGCATCAACTTCTCTACAATTTTATAACCAAGTGGTGCTATTATAATCCATAATTCCATATAATATCAAATACAGCTGTGTTAGCGTCATGCAGATTGAGTTCAACACCAATATCAGCAGGCTTTTAGTTGATGCTGTGATCACCTTGATCTTGTGCATTGTTCTTAATCACAAAATACAGGTATTTGTACAATCATATTTGGCAGATCTTTAATTAATTATAAACATGGAAGAAATGAGAATTATGAATTTCCACGCCTCATCTTTCATACTGTTTTTATCAATGCTTCCTTCATTGAAGCATAAGCCCAAAGTAATTCTGCTCAATCAACATTTAAAATTAAAATAAATGTTAAGAAAAATACAACACAAATCTTTATCATATAGTCAGGGCAAAATTTTTAGATGGAAGGCCTTACAAACCCATTCCGGCAGAAAGTCCATTATCAACAAACATCATCAACCGAAAGATAAAACACAGTAGAGTAGTCAACCTGAACAACGAAATAGACAGCAACTCATTATTGTGGCCAAACTTCCATAACTTGGAATAGAAAGCCGAACAGCATATCACAATGGAGGAACTCACCACAATCCATATGTGCAAAGGGTGTGTACAGGTATGATACCGATTCAATTAATCGCGACAATAACTCTATAAGTCAAATGACTTAAGAAAACAATAGAATTATAATCCTCTGTATGAGAGGGAGGGAGTGAAGGTGAGGGTGGCGCTGAAAACAAAGAAACCGTGAGTGAATTCGAAATGCGGGATAATGGTATGCAACTAAAGAATCCAAAACCTCAATTCTTGCAGAGAAATTAAAA